CCTTAGCACTTCTTAGATCTCTGTGAATTCAAAGCCACCCTGGACTACATGAGATTGACTCAGTCTAGGGGAGAACCAGAATCAGGCAGTGCTGGCACACACCTTTAATCCCAATACTTGGGAATCACACATCTTTAATCCCAGCACTTGAGATCTCATGTCTTTGCTTGAGAAGCACATGCCTTTAATCCCAGGAAGTGATTGCTGGGCAGAGAAAGGTAATAAGGTGTGAGGAGACAGGAACCAAAGGGGTTTTCAAACTGAGGAGTCCTAGAGGTAAGGGGTGGCTTGTTCCTTTGTCTCTCTGATCTTCAGGCATAGTTTATTAAGGTACACAATATGTCACCACAGCAATGACTTCCTGCGATGTCACTGGAACACGTAATCTCATTCCTGCTTCTAGTCCTTTTGTTAAGCGATTCCTCCTACCCCAGACCCCTTTCCTTGAGATTCACTCTTATCTACAATTTCCTTTTTTTCTAAGCCCTTCAGTCTAGCTGAATTTGCATTTCATCCATGAACTGTTATCCATGAAACTTTCCCTAAAATCTTCAGTTGTTATAGAAATCCTACTAGACAAGTTAATCTAATACACCAGTCTGTTTGTTTGTTTTGCTTATGGCCATTTAATCATTTTCATTTCTACTGTCAACCTGGTGCTTGTACTTAATAAAATCATATTTAAAATGTCATGGTCTTAGGATGGCAGTGTTTATGAGGTTGGCCCTGTAGATATCAAATCAAGAATCAAAATGCCTGTGCTCAAATCATGGCTCTACCATTTACTAACAATATGAACTCAGGCATGTTAACCTAACCTCTTCTCCCTATGTCTCTATTTCCTCATATGCATGAGAAAAAAATAAACATCTACCAAAGTTGAGGATGAAATAAGTTAATTTAACATGTAAAGCAGTGGTTGGTTCTCAACCTTCCTAACACTGTGACCCTTTAATACAGTTCCTCATGCTATGGTGACCCCCAACCATAAAATTGTTTCATTGATACTTCATGACTGTAATTTTGCTACTATTATGAATTGTAAATATCTGATATATAGAATATCTGATGTGCAATCCCCAAAAGGATCATGACCCATAGGTTGAGAATCATTGATATAAAGCATTTACAAGAAAGAATGAGATACAATGTACAAGTTAAGCTGTAATTTCTTTGCTCCAGGCCCTTAACTGTACACAACATTATATCACTTTTATTAAATAGTGATTTTGACTGTTATGTGATCTCTATGCAAAATTCTCTTTGGCTTTATTTTTTTTTTTTAAATATACATGTCTTGTTATATAACCCTGGCAAACCCAGAACTCACTAACAAATAAGGCCATCCAAATATGTCCACTCATAATGCCTTCCGTATAACTACCATATGGATACATTTACTTGCTCAGTGGCATTTCAGTCAAGAGGTTTTATCTGCTATAAAACCTGAAGAGTTTATAGAGTCCACAAAGGAGTAAAAGATGATACATAAAAGGCAGGCAAGACAGCTGTTAACATCCCTAATATGAATTGTTAAGACTAGCAAACACCACACTTTGGCAAAACTATAGCTCATTCTTCATGAATTTAACATTAAAACTATGTATCCCTGGTAACACCCACACTCAAGCCCATCCATGACTTCATCTTTCTTTTGCTTGACAAACTCCAAGTTTACTTCAAAAGCAAACCCCCAAATTTCCATTTGCCTACATTTTTCCAGTTTTCTAAAATGCGCATCTATGAGCTGAATAATCAAAAGTTTCAAATAACCCAGAATGGTGGCTCACACTTGTAATCCTAACACTGAGGAGGCTGAAGGAAGAGCACTGCCTCGAGCAGTCTTGGATAGAGTGAGAAAAGACCACGTCTCAAAATTTCAAAACACATGCTTCAAGTGTTTACTACTTCACCCAGCTTTTACTAGGCCTCCCATAATGGCAAATGCAGAACAGGTCACCAACAAAGTCAACCAAAGGACATATTACTCCAGTTTCCTACCTCCAAGGCAAAATGCCTACTGGGACAGAGTTACCAACTTCACAACCTTCTACGTTTAAAATTATTTCTATATATTGAACAATTTCTGGACTTGGGATGTAGCTCAATTGGTAGAGCACTTTCTTAGCTTGTACAAAGTCCTGGGTTCAATCTTCAACACTCATAAACTGGATGTAGTGGCAAAAGCCTGAATTCCCAGCACTCTGGGTATGTATTGAGTTTGGCATGAGCTCGGCATAAAAATGAAAAGAAACTTCTTATTACCTTGGGACTCCACAGCACAGCAGTGATTCACAAAGCACTGTTTTGGGGTCACTCTTCCCCCCCAAACATTCTCACTACTAAATACTGAGGCTTTAATAAAAGCAAAGCACGGGGGTACTAAGTGATTTGCATAATGATCTCAATCCCTAAAACAGTAAGGGAGCAGTGGACATGGCTCAGTGGTACAACAGGTGTTTAGTGCACACAGGTCCAACATTTCTTTCCCATTACCAAAATAAAAACTAAGCAGGCGATATTATCCACAGATAAGAAAACTAAGGCTTAGAGGTACTTAAAAACAAACTTTCCTGAAATGATATCCGTAAGAGTAGATTCTTGCATTTTTACGTATCAGAATTTTCAAGAATATATATTAGGTCGGGGGGGGGGGGGGGGGGGGGGGGGGGGGGGGTCAAGAATTCTCCTGCTATATTTACAGGAGAGCTCTTGAAACTACAAATTTCATACACAAAGCAATAAATAGTACTTGGCCAAACTGGTTTGATTTTCTTTCTATCTCCCAGGGTCTGGCAAAGAATACATGCTCAATATAAACCTGTCTGTCTAAGCCAATACTTTAAAATTAACCTAAAATAATTTGATCACAAAGGAAGATCTAACAGCTTGTTTAAACTAAATTAGGTGGTATAAAGATGAATAATGACACAAAGCCCTAGGTGCTACTTTAGCCAATAGCACAAAAAGGAAAAAAAAGTGAAAATGGGAGAAATAAACCAAGTCTACCCTTCAGAGAATTCTCTCCACCCTCTCTCCATCTTGATTTTCTGAGACAGGGTGTCACTCTAGACCCCAGCTAGTGATCTTAAACTCATTAAGTAACCACCGGGCAGGCACTATTTTTCAAACAAGAACTGCAGTTGCAAAGCACGTACTATAAGCAAATCGGTTGTGTGATTATGCTAGACCTGTTTCTCAAGAACATAAAAAGGTAAAAATATACCCGGGCAGCGGTGGTGCACGCCTTTAATCCCAGCATTCTGGAGGCAGAGGCAGAGGCAGACGGATCTCTGTGAGGTCGAGGCCAGCCTGGTCTACAGAGTTCCAGGACAGGCACCAAAGCTACACAGAGAAACCCTGTCTTGAAAAACAAAAAAAAAAGGTAAAAATATAAAATTTGGCTGTATGAACACTAGTAGTCAACTGTTGGAATCCAATAAAGAACTCTACACTCATTTGCAAAGAATTACAGATCATCCATCAACGCACCCAAATGTTAGCTTCCAGGGGGTTAAAAAGTCAGTTTTATGGGTTAAAGAGCATCTCGTGTGACTCAGAAAAAGTTAACACACTTTTCATTTCTCTTCCTACACACAGAACAGGTTATAGGCATTATTATGCAAGCATGCAGCACTTGGGGATCTTTTCTTTCTTTAAAAAAAAAAAATCAAGTTTATTTTGTAATTCCTTAATTCAGTAGTTCACAAGTTTCACTTTCTTCCTCTAGAGGCTCAAGTTTCTTTCATTTCAAAACACCACTTTTGAAGATAAATTCTCCTCTAAAAAAAAAAAAAAAGACTTAATCATGTCACTCAGAAAGAGGGGGCAAAAAGTCAGGAGACAAAACTGGAGACAGCCCTATTAGTCTTATGTAACTTAAAGTCAGAATTAATTCAGTAGCTCAACCAAAACCTTGGGTTTAGGCCCAAAGATGAGCTCTTCAAAATATTCTCCATACAATTTTTTTAAAAACTTGAAAGACCTTATTTTTTTTTCAATAGAAGCAACTATCAAGGTACAGTGCCAAGATAAACAAGCTAAATTGGATTAAAAATTAAAAGCAAGGCTAGGCTAGTGACCTTTAATCCCAGCACTTGAGAGGCAGAGGCAGGCAAATCTCTTAAGTTTGAGGCCAGCCTGGTCTACAGAACGAGTTCCAGGCCAGCTGGTCCCTGACTTTAAAAAAAAAAGAAAGAAAGAAAAAAGCCCAGGAATTCTTATTATAAGTAATATTATAATTGATAATATTGGATATAACTTAAGAAAAATAAGCGAATTTATTAATACTAATTTTTGCATATCATCGTGTAACTACACATTATCTACCAAAGAAATTAAAACGTAAAGCAATAAATTTCTGTTCACACAACTTGTAAACAACTCTGAAAATGTAATTATTCCAACCTAATTAAATTGCCTTTAATTTTTACAAATTATTTCATCATGTGCAAATAAATATCAAACCTTACAAAAACATTAAGTTTGCGCAGCAATTATCCTAGCAGGCAGGCCCGGAATCGAATTCAACTACAAGCTGTGTGTTAACTAACTACATTTCACCAGAGACACTGGAGCCTCGATGTAACCGATGTAACCGTGGCCACAGATTCCGGCATTGCTTTGGGAACTGCTGTTTGCTTAATCAAGCAAGCAATGAACTGCAGATTCACCTTTCTAAGAGGACCGAAGGCAAGAGGTCAAGTTTCACTATCTACTTTTCCTAAACGAATTAGGGTTTGGGATTTCACTGGGAATGACCAAGTTATCAAGAAGTCATCGCCCTACCGAGACATTTAATAACAATACCCTCTCTGTTTTTCATTCAACCACTTCGATTAAATTTCCACTAGAATTCAGACGCACAAAAAAGCTGATTCCATGGCCTCGAAGAAAAGCGTCCTGTGGGAACAAACCCTGAGACGCTGCACACCTTATACCTCTCAGAGAGGGCAAGGAGAATGAGAAGGAAAGGTTGTAAAACACTGTAGGGACATTACCTTGCTCGTCTTGTGGTCAAACCAGACGAGGGCATGGTTCCTTGACAGCACTTTGCAATCAAAGGTGGCATTATTCTGCGCTGGTCGACAGCGTGCCACCGAGCGGCCAATCTTGATGGGCTCGTCCAGGTAGACATGACGCTCCTGAAACGGGTGCGAGTTCGGGCGGCAAGTGAAGATGGCCAAGGCTGACGGCATGGAGGACAGGCTGGGGAGGGGCTGTCTCTACCAGGGACAATGAGGAGCTCCTCCAGCTTCGGAATGCTCTTCCCAAGCCTATACCCCTATCCCCCCAAAATTTTTAAATTAAAACACACTGCGCATTGTCTAAGCATAACCAGTGAACATCAACAACTCTTCAACTGGGCAGGAAGACAAGCCAGCGCAAGCCCCATCACCTCCTTTAAAACACAGAGGCTCCTTGACCAAAAAAAGTCCCCAACCAGCAGCTTTCAGTCCATCTTCCCTAGGAAGAAAAGGCTCAAACATTGGGCAGCTTCGGCCAAGTAAACTCCTGGAAGACAGTTTGGGGACGGGAGGTATCCAGGCTGATGAGTCACACACCGATTCTTGTGTTTTGTTTGAGATCCCGGCCGCTTCTCCCCTTCGGTAGCGGAAACGTTGCGGCACTGCAGCATGAAGAGGGTTGGCCGGGTGCAGCCGGGAAGGTCCTCCGGGGCCCAAGGGAAGAGGAGCCGAGGACCTCCGGGCGGCCACCGCCGGTCCTCGGGGGGCCTCGGGGATGAGGAGAGGCGCGGGGGGTCGACGAGGAGGGCTAGAGGGCCAGCGGGCCGGGGTGCATGGCCCCTGCTGCGCCGAGGCCGCCCGGGAGTGGCAGGGGTCCCCGGCCCAGCGTGAGCCGAGGCTGCGATCCCAGGCTGGAGGCGTGGGAGGGCTGCCGGGGCGCGGGCGGCCGCCGAGTCGCGAGTCCCGGGCACCTGGCGGGTGTCCCCGCGACCAGGGCGGGGACCCCGGCGCTGCAGGCCGGTGCGGACAGGCTTGAGCGCCCGGGCCGGCGGGAAGTTGGTTCCGGAGCTCTGGGGCTCGACGGCTCAGCACATGGGCCGCCTCCCCTCAGGGGCGTCCGCGCGAGGGTCGCATCGCAGGGACTGGCAGCTCCCGGAGGACGGCGGGGTGGGGGAGGGAGGCCGGCCCGGAGCTGGAGGGAGAGGCCTGGAGGCCGGGGCTGGGTCCGCCGCAGCCTCCTCCGCGGGCGGCCAGTGCGGCCAGCTCAGGCGGTGGCGGACGAGGCAGGAAACTTTCCGACCTAGTGGGGGGGAGACAGCAAAACAAACGGCAGTCAGGAGCCGGTGCCCGCTCGCCTCAGCCCTCAAGCCCTTCAGCCAGCCCCGGCCAGCCCCGGCCGCTGGCTACGACCTCGGGCGACCTCCTCTCCGGCGGGCTCCAGGGACCGGGAGCCGGGGCGGCACGCCGGTCCTGCCTCCCTGGCCGACCCCGCCACCTCCACCTCCGCCGCCGCCTCAGCTTACCTTGCCAGCGCTGGCCGCCATAGTGACTCTGACTGAAACCTACCCGGTGCACCGCCACGGGAACGCGCACCCTTTTCTAGGGCCCTCCTCCGCCGTCTCCCGTGCCGTAGTCCCGGGGTGTCACGTGAGCGACGCTGCGGGAGCCATGTTTGTCACTGGCAGGGAAGAGGGCAAACTCGTTCCTAACAGGCCTCCGGCGCCATCTTTGTGAAGGGCCAGGAGCTTCAACCCTCCGGACAACCTTAACGACCATTTTGGTAAAGGGCAAGAGAAACTTTAGAGGGGTTGAGTGATTCAAGAACACACAGCGGCAGCTTCCTGATTCAACTTATAAATAAGACAGTACCAACTTTTATTTAAATTTATTCAGTGTCGTTCTCACTGGAAATACTAACGCCTAAGGAGGATAGATCCAGGCAAAGTAAAGACACATTAGCAGCCTTCGTAGCTATGGGCAACTGAGTCACTCACCATTGCCCTACTGGTGACCAAACAAATTCCACAAGTCCCTAGATTTCATAACATCAGAAGGACTTTCCGCGCTGTGCAAATTCTCCGTGCTTTCCATTCCAAATTTGTGTCCTTTTCACGGATGCGACAGTTTCTCAGGACTCCTACGTGGATTTTCTAACCTGGAAGTAGTGAAACCAGAAAGTTTTAGGGCTTTTGTTTTGTTGGGGGGAATGGAGGTTGTGAGTTAGAGACAGGGTTTCTCAGTGTAGCTCTGGCTGCCCTGGAATTCTCTGTGTAGACCAGGCTGGTCTCGAACTCAGAGATCCACCCGCCTCTGCCTCCTAAATACTGGGATTAAAAGCGTGTGCCTTGAGACCCGAAAGTTTTAAAACACATTTCCAAAGAGGGATCGAAAGTTTCTAATAGGAAAATATGGAGTGTTGCCCAACTAACAATCCTGAAGTATGTGTTAAACCTGAGAATCACAAGGAGAAAGACCAGTATGTAAGGAGTCATTGTTCTAAAGAAGAAAAAACGCGTAGCCAGAGCTGAATGGAAATCTTAAGGAAAGACTGTAGAGAATCTTAATCTTTTAGAATCAGTGTTGACTTCATTCTTGAGATTCCTGTGACCACAGTCTTTCCTGTGACACCTTGGGCATGTCTTTAAACTTCTTTGGGCCACTTTTTGTCTTCTAAAACATAATGATAGTAATACATAACCCCCTTGTAGAGAGACTTCGTGATATTAAACCACATTGTCCCAACAGAGTATTCATTTCAATCCTTTTGGAGGGCTTTAGAACTATGCTGAGTCCAGGGGACACACATAAACACAGCCTTAATCTCTGTCCTCTGGTTGTATAACCAGTGTTGCAGCTTTGAGACTGAAGGAATAAAACAAGGTAACTTGACTTCATTATATTCAGAACTCTGCTAAAGGGAGTCAGGGACTTTTTCCTTCTGGGAAAAGTAACAAAAAAATGAATGAAGGAAAGTTGAAGGACTACAATAAATATAGTATTTGCTGAATGGTTTACTAAGTTTCCAGGAAGAGGGAGAGTAAGTAATAAAATGAGGCTGTTTAAAACAATACATCAGTGTGCCTGGTACAGTGGCTAAGTAAATATTTAATATGTAAATGGAAATCACATACTGTTATTATTAGATATAGTCACACTTTCTTTGGACTGCCAACTCCCAAATAATGACACAGAGACTTTTTATTAGTTATGAAAGCTTGGCCTTAGCATAGGCTTGTTCCCAACTAGATCTTTAAACCTAAATTAACCTGTTTATATTAATCTACATTCTATCATGTGGCTCATTACCTCTCCTTAGTACCATACTTCCTCCACATCTGGCTGGAGAATACCCCATCTTAGATTTTTTTCCAGAGTTCCTATCTTGGCCCAGAAGATCCACCTAGTCTCTCCTGCCTAGCTATTGACTGTTCAGCTCTTTATTAAACCAATCAGAAGGTACCTTAGGCAAGTGAGGTAAAACAGAGACACAGCTCCACACAGCTCACAAAAAGATGATCCCAACTATTAAAGGATAAAGTAGGGGCAGCACAAGGTGAATCTGGACACAATAAGTAATGTATTATAAAGATGTATGTATATGTGTGTGTGCGCGAGTGTGCACGCGCACATGCATGCAAAAGCACTCTTGTACTTGAAGCTTAAATTCAGGGGAATATGAATGCCCAAGACCTGAACCTTCATGCATCAGGCTTTCTGGGACCACCAGCCCCAAATCATGACACAGAGACTTAGCTTAGGCTTGTTTCTAGCTAGTTTTTTTTTTAACTTAAATTAACCCATTTCTACTAATCTGTGTGCTGTCTCGAGGCTCATTTACCTCAACTATGTACTGTCCATCCTGTTTCCCTGCTTCCTCCTTGTCTGGCTGGCTCCCAATTGGCTGGCTAGCTCCCCTTTTCTCTCTGCCCACCAGCCCCACCTGTCCCTCCTCTGCCTAGCTATTGACCATTCAGCTTTTTATTAGACCAATCACATACCTTAAGCAGGCAAAGTAAGATAGCAACACACCTTTACATAGTTAAACAAATGCAGCATAAACAAATGCAACATATCTTTACACAGTTAAACAAATATTCTATATTTCACAACACCATCACACTTTATGATTCATTTCAACAAATATATTGAATAACTACAATACCCCAGGTGTTTTGTCCTAGAGAATAAGGACATGCTGGAAAGTTTTATTATCAGGATGAAAAATTTTCACTTCTGATAACTTTTAGCCTTAAAATAATAAAGTAAACCACACATGGTAGAGCATGCCTTTAATCCCATCACTCAGGAGACAGAGGCAAATGGATCTCTGAGTTAGAAGTCAGCCTTAACAAGTTCCAGGCTAGCCAAGGCTACATCATGAGATCCTGTCTCAATAAAGTAAAAAAATTTTCTACAAATCTCTAATGAGTTATGTGCATGAACTGTAAAGTTACTTAATCATGTTTCTACTCATTCTACAAATATTTAATTGAATACCCACTGGGAAACAGAAACTGTCAAATACCCTGGGATTTCAAAAGTGAAGAAGAAGAATAAAGAATCCCTAAAGTTTCTTATAGTTTAGATGAAGGCACAATAAGATCCTTGCTGTATTTGGAGTGACTCAAAAGTAATGGGAGCACAGAATAATTTATACTGGGGCTTCAAACATGAGTAGGACCTGGGGATGTAGGCCAGGAGCAGAATGATGACCTACTATTTGCATGGCCTTGGGGCCACCTCAGGACCAGAAGTGTTGTGGGGTATTTGTGCACTGTATGTTGACATTGCTGTGATCGGTTTAATAAAGAGCTGAGTGGCCAATAGCTAGAGAGAAGGTATGGGTGGGATTTCCAGGCAGAGAGAAAGGAATTAGGAGATGAGTCAAGGTACACAAGGGACACCAGGAGACACAAAGAGGAAACAGGAGGTGCAAAATGGGAGAGAGGCAATACCATATGATAGAACATAGATTAATATATGGGTTAGTTTAGGTTATAAGAGCTAGATAAGAACAAACCTAAGCTATAGGCCCCCAACTTTCAGAATTAATAATAAGTCCATGTTGTTATTTGTGAGTTGGTAGCCCAAAGAAAAATCTGTCTACATACAAGAACAAAACAATCAAAAATGTTGGACTAAGCCAGTTAATCTGGTACTAACGAGATAGAAACATTTTAAGCCAAAATGATATCCTGAACAAAGGGCTAGACACTTGAGAAGACAAGACT